AAGCGGTAAAGCTTTTGTGGAGGGTCATTTAATAGCAAAGGTAATAAAAGAGCTTCACGTCTTGCTATTACAAAACGTTGTTAAAGAAAAAAAATGATGCTGCACAATAATAAACTTTTTACATGGGAATTCTCTAAAAATTTCACCGAGTTAACAGTTTCCGGCTGATTGGCTTGTTTTCGTTCGACTGTTTACAGAAACATTACTGCTCGAAAGGTGACTGAAAAAAGTAGTTACATTAAAGAGATCTCTTACTTGTTTAAGAATTCTTATTGGGATTGGTTTGTAGTATGCGCGGTACTTACAGGTGAATGAAAAATAGTTATCACAACATACTTCTTTTGTATTCTGAACTGTTATAAATACATGGTTTCAGGAAAGAGAAGAAAAACGAAATAACGATGATGTAAAATCTTGTGATAACGCTCAAAATAAGGGAAAGGTTGCAGCAAAAATTAAATGCATAAAGTAATACGCACAACATACTACACTGTTTAACATTGGTCGTGATGTATAAATTTCACGTAGTGGATGAAAATTTATTGAATCGTATGCTTAGCCAAGCTTTCAGAAATTCTACAAGCAGAATTACTAATAAAATCTCTACTATTTTTAAAAACTTTTGCTTGATATATATCTGAGAATAAATAGATGGAAATAGTCATAAACGTTTTTTTATTCTTCCTTGTTTTAAAAAAAACAGGTATAACTTTTTTGTGTATAACATATAACCATGATAAATTTTTGTTTGAGAGTTCATGCTACAAAGATACTCAAAATTTTCGTTTAATGCAGATTCTCAAGTTTCTGCTTGATGTCTTCTGATGTTTTTTTTCATATTATAAAAATGGCTGCAAACTTCGGCAAAAAATGAATATTTTTTAACTGTTCATCGCGTTACTGATTTGATGACACTTTTTCCAAACGCTTTTCAACAGTTGTTAAAAAGTAACTGTTCTGTAGGAAGCTTCCTTTTCAGACGTTTTTCGTAAGCATTTCACCGCTGTCGACTGAAAGAGTAAGTGGCCTTTTATAAAGCAATTACTCTAAACATAAAACCTACGTTCATATACCTACTGGAATTTTTTTGTAAGCAATTTTAGAGAAACATGGTAGTGGTGAAATTTCAAAGTCATTACCGGTGATAAGCAGATTTGATCTATCTAATCTACAAAGTAGAAAAGCATAAAAAGCAGATGAGAATTTGCTGTTACACTTGACTCTTTTTTGCCTTTAGTTTAAATGTTAATAAAATCTAAAGTCATCTGGCAAAAAGTTAAAAGGTTTTCGTCTCTCTTGACTTTGTCTTTAATTTAAAATTTCAAGCATTTTGGAATCTCAATATTTTCCGCCATTTCATAAACGTTTTCGCTTGAATTTCTCGCATTTCCTTTGTTGCTGAAGAAAGCAAAGATTTTTATTGGTAAGGCTTTTAAATTAATTAAAAAATGCGACCGAAACTTCCAATACCTATAACGAATTACAGTGGAAAGCGAAGAGAAGATGAAAAACTAACATTTACTGGGAAGGAAAAAGATTCCTAGAAGAAAAAAAAAACAAAAGAAGTGGCAAATGTCACACTTTCCTTTCTTCTGTAGTTTTTGTCAAAATAGTTATTAGCAGAGCGCATAATGACAAAGTAGGGCAAGAAATTTAACAGTATTAAACAAGAAGTTTTAGAAGTTACTTTTAAAGTTGTTTTTAAAGTATTACAACAAATGTAAATTTCTCAGCTACAAGTAGCACTCAAATTTGGGATTACTCTAGTCAAAGAGATAGAAAGTTTTTATAAATTTTCATTTATAAATTCTACAGATGTTAAGCAGATTAACGAAATTGGAAGTGCTGCAGAGACGTAGAATTAGTTTTTGTAGAAAATTGACGACGAGTTATTCCTTAACCGCTGTAACGAAGTCAAATGCAGATGCTGAACTTTTTTTATGGCAATGACTGACGACTGTCGTATGAATTGTTTCTGGAGTCGCTGAAGCCTCTACCCCTTATAAGCATTTCAAATGGCTGTTCATATGAAAATTTTAAGGTCTTCTGATTTTCTGAAACTTTTAATTCATCGAACGAAACATGGATAGTCCCAATACTTCACTAACGCCTCCCATTCAAGAAATAACCACTTCATATGTATTAACTTCAGTACATTCAATTACTAAATTAAGAAAACTATTGATCTAATTAAATATTTATTGCAGTTTCTTACTTGTAGTTACTTGTTTACCTTCCAAAGATTCAACACTTTTGAAAAATCAGACATTAATAGACCTACAGACAAAGAAAATTTATTATGCAGTAATTAATGCTTGGAAACTCATAATAGTTCGCAAATGGTAAAAAGAAGTCTCAGCTAAAATATTTGTATAGCGTTCAACTAAGGAAAAAATTTGTTTTTTTAAAGTTTGGTCTCTCTCATCTCAAAATTGCTTATTAATGAGCGCCTTCGCAGAGTGAATCAAGAATAAATAAAGTAGCGAAAAAATACACTAAAGAAGGGAAATGAATACACTGACGCATACAAAAGTACCATCTTATAAACTTTTTTTTGCAACTATTTCGTTTCTCAGAAGACACTTTACCAGTAAAAAAAGTTAATTTAATTTTGAGCAAGGTAAGTATTTCTGTAAAACAGTTATTTTTGTAGTCGCAAAGCCTTTTTACTTTTCACAGCCAACGATGTAAGTTATTCAAATAATGTTAGAGAAACACAACTTAGTTTTGTAAGTTTCTGCCTTCTTTTGTGACAGTCTAAAAACCTTCACTTGTTTCACAAAAAAAAAGGTTCTGCTTCAAAAAACCCGTTGTAGAAATGAACTTGAGAAGTCCCGCATTGATCAGGAAGACACTCTGGTTCAAAAAAGGACTGTACACTTGACAACCAATAAAAGCAACATCGGTTTAAAAACAATTACTTTATTATGTAGGGTTCTCTCAGACAGAAATAATTTACAAATGTTTAACAATACTTCTTGGAATAAAATAGTTCTTTAACGTTGTCGAACAAAACAGATCTTTGAGAAGCAATTTTAGAAGTGATAAGTGAAGTGAAAAACTTAGATTTTATTATACAGAGAAAAATAAAATAGAACTTAATATCGTTAGTGTGAGCACAGCACATTAACCTTTACGAAAAAATTACGTTAAAAAAAGGGTAGTTGAGCGTTGTTAGTGGTCTGAGAGAAGAGTGAAAAGCAAAAACAAGAAATTTTTTGATTTATAATTTGAGAAACTCATACAGTTTTCTTCTGTCAAAAACAGCTAGCTTGCAAAAGTATTATCTTCAAAATCACTGCTGAAATCTAAGAATCTGCTGTAGCAAAAATTTTCTAGAGAGATATTTATGGCACAAAACAAAGAAGAAATAAACTAATTTTATTTGGAAAAATTGACTGGTTCAATTAAAAATTTTTGAGAAATTTGAAAATTACTGATATCGCCACATTATCGCCAGATCCTCTGTTGTCTGGCATGAATTACTGTAGCATGTTTTTCCGTTCACCATACCTGATATCTGGCCTTACAAATGTGTCAGCCTTTGTCGTCATGTTAAAAGTGTCGTTTCGTAGTCCACTTCTACAATGAAAAAACTGTGTGCATTAAATTTGCTACGAGTTAGAGACAAGAAATACATAATTCCAAGTATTGAGCAGCTTCTTTTAATTTAAAGTTTTATTGAACCAAATAGCGTGGTGTTAAAACTAAAAAAAAGCGTAAAATTTGCTGATGCACTGCCAATGTTTTTTTTCGCCGTCATTGTCAATGTTTATTGCCGTGTAACTGTAGATCAACTACTTTTGAAAAGTCTGGAGTTTGTAACTTAGACGAATAAAGTTGCCACTAGGCTCTTTTTCAACGTATTTTTTGTTGATGTCGATGTCGGTCAGGCAAATGTCAAAGCAATAAATTTAAATCGTATATGAAGCAAAAGTTAGAAGATAAATCCGCTTGACATCAAAATGGTTTTGAATTCTGACTAAACATATTAACAAAAAATGTTTTGCTGCTTTAGAGAACCAATTCCTTTAAAATTTTTACTGCTTATGTGTGAAATTTTTGTTACTGTTACACTAATGGCAAAACAAAAAAAAATGTTGAGAACAAAACTAAATGATCACTAAATGTCTATGAATAAGGCGATAACAATGAAGTTGTAGTAAAAAGCTGTTACAAGTTGAGTTTGTATGCAGTTTTTAAGTTTCTACTGAAAACGCAAGCAGAGTTTCAACGATAATTGTTTATAACTTGGTGTTGGCTACAGCTCTCCCGTTATCTGTCTGGTTGAGAAGCATTTCCAGCCCGCTGCATTGCTTCTTAGGTAAATGCAGTCATTTTAAGAGCAAAGAATCACTCTCATTCTCCCAAAAAACGTTATCACTTAGCATTTATTTAGTAATAATGAAAGCGTAAATGTGTTCTTTTTTTGAAATTTGGTATACTGAAGCTCTGCTGAGATTTTTTAAGACGTTGATGAAAACCAGGACAGATAATTGGCAAAGAATATACGAGTAGTAATGTAGTGGTCTTATTTTTGAAGTCTTCACTCTTTTTCAGTAACGTTACTAATTCACTAGTGACTCGGGTAAGCTTACTGGTTCGTTTTGCCAGTGAAATAAACAGCCAAAGCTCCTCCCTATGCGAATCACTCTGTCATAATTATACAAAGGCGGAAAACAAACTTTGTCTGATGAATACTGAAGCAAAAAGTCAAAAAAAAAGTGAGCAGAATCCGTAGTCATTTGACCATTGCTCGCAACACTATCTAAATAAACAAGAATAGGCGCCACCGTTAAAAAGAATGGTACATTTAGAATATCTTCTTCATCATTTCACCGCTAATTAAATTAGACATTTTTGGTTAAGAGTATTATTTTTTCTCCCGTCTTTAATACACCTTCAGGCTCTTTTCCAAAATATTTTCAAGATATTGCTAATTTCTTTTTGTATTTGGCAGATATATACTCGCCGTAACACGAAAAACTAGTATAAAAATGGTCAACAAAATAAAGGGCTTCAATCTCTGAGCATTTCAGTGTCAATGAGGAGTGCTCCGTAGGACTATAGGAGAAGTATGCTTAAGAAAAGAACTGTTTGTCCCTAAAGAATCATAACTGATCGTAAGACGCTCATAGTGATAGCGGCACAGAAAA